TAATCCAGAGTCCTGACGCTCTTTGATACGTAACCATCAGACCTGATTTTACAGCTTGAATTTACGAAGCCCTGAGTGTATATGATTAGATCAAAGTAGCCAGACTTTTGACCCACACCTTCCCCCAAATCATTCTATGTGTGTTCACCAATCCCTCTTAAATCACCTGTGTGTTCTCTCTCATTTATCTTTTTTTTTTTTTAATTTATCTTTATTTTTGAGAGACAGAATGAGACAGAGCATGAGCAGAGGAGGGGCAGAGAGAGGAGACACAGACTCTGAAGCAGGCTCCAAGCTCTGAGCGAGCATTCAGCACAGAGCCCGATGTGTGGCTCGAACCCACAAACCGTGAGATCATGACCTGAGCCGAAGTCAGACACCTAACCAACTGAGCCACCCAGGCGCCCCTCTCATTTATCTCTTTAATACTTAGTTACTTGTGTGTTTTTCTATACTTTCTGAGTGGAGACTCTGAACACCAATTTGTTTCTACCATGGGCCCATGCACACAGAAGGTAGATGCTAAATACTTTTTGAAAAGATTTCTAAATGAATAAAACATTTTGGAACATTTTTCAACACAATACAGCAAGAGTGTGTGGGTGCTTGGGTGGCTCAGTCGGTTGAGCATACGACTCTTGATTTCAGCTTAGGTCATGATCCCAGGGTCATGGGATTGAGCCCTGTCGGGCTCCACAGTGAGCATGTGGCTTTCTTAAGACACTCTCTCTCTCTCCCTCTGCCCCTCTCCCCAACTTGCTTTCTCTCTACAATAAAAATAAAATAAAATGTGCATTCTATTAAAAAAAGAGAAGGGGCGCCAAGGTGGCTCAGTCAGTTAAGCTTCTGACTTCAGCTCAGGTCATGATTTTGCAGTCTGTGAGTTCGAGCCCCACATCTGGCTCTGGGCTGACGGCTCGGAGCCTGGAGCCTGCTTCAGATTCTGTGTCTCCCTCTCTCTCTGCCCCTCCCCACTCAGGCTCTGTCTCTCTCTCTCTCAAAAATAAATAAACATTAAAAATTTTTAAAAGAGAGAGAGAACAAAAATGTATACAAAGCAAGTAGAAAATTAACATTAGCATTCCTTGCCTTAATAAACCCAACTCTTCATGCTTTTGCCATCTCAGGGCCTTTGCATATGCCGTTTTCCTTGCCTGAAACACACTTTCTACTCTCACCCTTTTTGCCTATTTACTTCCTCCTGGTTCTCCAAATTTCAGCTTGAACATCATTTCCTCAGTAAATCTTTTATTTATCACTCATACCACTTACAGCTTCCAGTTACATATTTTCTACTGTGGCTCTTCAGTTAACTTTTTGGTTTTTTGCCGAAAAGATTCTAAACTCCATGAAGGCAAGACCATCCATGTCTATTTTGGTCAACATCTCCTCCCAGGGCATAGCTCATAATCAATGCACAAAAACATTGTTGAATGCATGAATAAACTTTTGAAATTTCGTGTTTACAAATACAAAAAAACTTTGCTTTAATGGGACTTTTTTTTAAATTTTTTTTTATGTTTATTTATTTTTGAGAGAGACCGACAGAGTGCAAGTGGGGGAGGGGCAGAGAGCAAGGGAGACACAGAATCCGAAGCAGACTCCAGGCTCCAGGTTCCGAGCTGTCAGCACAGAGCCTGATGTGGGGCTCAAACCCACGAACGAAGTCGGACGCTTAACCGACTGAGCCACCCAGGCACCCCAGGACCTCTTTTCTTAAGTAGTGACTTCAAATAGAATTTACTCATTATTTTTCTCTTTTGTACACACTGTAATATACCTGCATGGTACCCCCACCACTACCTGGAATTATTCATATTGCAGAGTGGTTTAGAGCATGGGCATTGGTCCTGGGTTTGAATTCTGGCTAATAAATATCATAAATGCTTAACTCTTCACTGCTTCAAAATATTATTTCAAAGTGCTTTGAAAAAGAGCAAGAATAGCACAGACTTAAAAACAAAAACTAACAGTAGGAAATACAGAGAGGATATGAGGAAACTAGAACTCTCATACCCTGCTGTTGGGAATGTAAGTTAGTAAAACCACTTTACAGACCAATTCAGCTATAGATGGTAGAGATAAAGATGCACTTACTCTAGAACATAATAAATATACTTGTACATGTATGTTACCCAAGAGAAACTCTCAAATATCAAGCTGTTAACTACAGCAGTTTTTAATAGCAAAACCTTGGGACTAATTTAACTGTACATTGTTTTATTTTTTGTTTTAATTTTTTTTAATGTTTATTTTTGAGAGAGACAGAGTGTCAGCAGTGGTGGGTCCAAGAGAGAGAGAAAGAGGGAGACACCAAATCTGAAGCAGGCTTCAGGCTCTGGACTGTCAGCACAGAGCCTGATGCAGGGCTTGAACTCAAGAACTGTGAGATTATGACCTGAGCCGAAGTCGGAGGCTTAACCAACTGAGCCACCCAGGTGCCCCTAAATGTACATTGTTTTATACGCGCGCGCGCACACACACACACACACACACACACACACACACACACACACGTATGTCTATATGTGTATATATGCACATATTATGTAGACATACATGTGTGTACATGCCTATACATGCCTATTATACAGAAATATATACAGACATGTGTATATATGTACAGATTTGTCTCTGTACGTATATGCGAATAAATAAATTACAGTAATTTTATATAATGGAATCCTATATAGTCATTAAAATGAGTGAATGAGAGCTGCATGTATCAACAATACGGTCTCTAAAGCATAATGTTGAGTGGAAACAGAAGCATATAGAGTGGATGGTCCAATCTAAAGAAAAGTAAGGGTATGCAAATGTGGCCCTGAAGATGACAGCATGGGGTTTGCCTCTAGAGACAGAGAAAGAAGGAGGGAAGGAAAAGAATGGGCCTGGGACAATTTCAAAGAGGACTTCAATTGTATCTACAGTGTCAGTTCTTTTTTTTTAAGAACTGAAACAAATATGTTAAAATTTATTTAATCTGAGTGAAGAGTGCACCAGGATATGTATATTACAAGCTAATTTTACAAGTGAACTATTGTATAACATTTTAAAAAGTGAGATTAAGAGAGATTCAGATGCCAACTCTACCACCAGACTTCAGAAAAGAGACATAAATTCTCTGATACTCCTGTTTTCAAAATAGGATTAATAGTGTCGACTGAAAATTAATGAGATTCAATGTGCAGAATGACTCATAGATATTATCCACTGGAATATCATTTTAAATTTTTTTTTTTTTCTTCAACGTTTTTATTTATTTCTGGGACAGAGAGAGACAGAGCATGAACGGGGGAGGGGCAGAGAGAGAGGGAGATGGAATATCATTTTAGAATGAGTCCCTAACAACTTTCCAGATGTGTCTTATTCAGAGAGACTTTTTTTTTAATTGATCAGAAATTATATGCATGCATGTCAAGGGGCACCTGGCTGGCTCAGTTGGAAGAGCATATGACTCTTGATCTCAAAGTCATTCAAGCCCCATGTTAGGTACAGAAATTACTTAAAAAAAAAAAAAAAAAACAACTTTAGAAGAAGAAATTATATGCATGCATTTTCAAAACAAATCACACACCAAGAAAAATAATATATTGCTACTGTTTGTTCAAAAACTATATATATTATAAAGACATATATAAGGATAGACTATTTATTACTGTGATTGCCCTGAGGGAGGGGTATTTGAGTGGTTGGAGAACAAGAAGGGAAACTTACTTCTCCCTGATATTATTTCTAATTATGTACCCTATTGTAGATTATAGCTCTTCCGTGATACAATGGAGTTACATCCTGATAAACCCATTATAAAAATTGAAAATGCATGGAATACACCTAATCTACTGAACATCATAGCTTAGCCTAGCCTACCTTAAATATTCTTAGAATATTTACATTAGCCTATGGTTGGGCAAAATCATCTAACACAAAGCTTTTTGAATACTGGACTGAAAGTGAGAAACAGAATGGTTATACAGGTACAGATGGTCGTTAAGTGTGTCAGTTTTTTTTTTTAAATCTTTTTTTTTTAATATATGAAATTTATTGTCAAATTGGTTTCCATACAACACCCAGTGCTCATCCCAAAAGGTGCCCTCCTCAATATCCATCACCCACCCTCCCCTCCCTCCCACCCCCCATCAACCCTCAGTTTGTTCTCAGTTTTTAACAGTCTCTTATGTTTTGGCTCTGTCCCAAGTGTGTCAGTTGTAAGAGCTCATGATCACGTGATTGACTGGGAGCTCTGACTTACTGCTGTTGCCCAGCATAACAAGAGTCTCATACCGCACATCACTAACCCAGGAAAAGATCCAAATTCATAATCCCAAGTACAATTTCTACTGAATGCCTATAGCTTTTGCACCACAGTAAAGGCAGAAAATCGTAAGTTGAACCATCATAAATCAGAGACCATCGGCACCTACTCTAAAAAATAAATACAATTTATCTTTAAATTAATCTGAAGGTCCTGATCTTCTCCACTCCATCAATACTAAACCTACATAAAAAGGAAAGGTCCTAAAATCCAGGTTCCAAAAAGGTTCTTAAGAAGTTAGTCTCCTACCTGAACACATGAAGCAGGGAACACCCCATATTTTCCTGCATGCATGAGGACAAAAGAAAGAGCATGGCATTTCGGATTAGGGGATCTAGGCTTGGTTCCTGTCGCCAGCACTTACTAACTGTGTGACTTTAAGTGAATTCCTTAAGCCCTCTGGGCCCCAGTTTCATTTCTGAAGTGAGAATAATGGCAACACCACCTCCAATGATTGTGAGGAATAGTTTATTTATTCCTACAATATTAAATTACGAGTATGTAATTTTGTCAAAATAGTATCCAGATGGCTGCATGAGCTATAATTTGTAGTGTAGAGACTGTCTTTCAAAAGCACTGGTTTGGTCCCTTTGGCTTCCATGGAAGTACCCATAAACATAAGCCTAGGGCCCTATATTAGCCAATGAAGTCATCTGACTTCAGAGATAAACCAGATTCTCTTCTCTCCACAGCCAATATCCTGACAGTGATCATTCTCTCTCAGCTGGTAGCTAGAAGGCAGAAGTCCTCCTACAACTATCTCTTGGCACTTGCTGCTGCTGACATCTTGGTCCTCTTTTTCATTGTGTTTGTGGACTTCCTGTTGGAAGACTTCATCTTGAACATGCAGATGCCTCAGGTGCCCAATAAGATCATAGAAGTGCTGGAATTTTCATCCATCCACACTTCTATTTGGATTACTGTTCCATTAACCATTGATCGGTATATTGCAGTCTGCCACCCACTCAAGTACCACACGGTCTCCTACCCAGCCCGCACCCGGAAAGTCATTGTAAGTGTTTACATCACCTGCTTCCTGACCAGCATCCCCTACTACTGGTGGCCCAACATCTGGACTGAAGACTACATCAGCACCTCCATGCATCACGTCCTTATCTGGATTCACTGCTTCACCGTGTACTTGGTGCCCTGCTCCATTTTCTTCATCTTGAACTCAATCATTGTGTACAAGCTCAGGAGGAAAAGCAATTTTCGCCTCCGTGGCTATTCCACAGGGAAAACTACTGCCATCTTGTTCACCATTACCTCCATCTTTGCCACACTCTGGGCCCCCCGCATCGTCATGATTCTCTACCACCTCTATGGGGCACCTATCCAAAACCGCTGGCTGGTGCACATCATGTCCGACATTGCCAACATGCTGGCCCTTCTGAACACAGCCATCAACTTCTTCCTCTACTGCTTCATCAGCAAGAGGTTCCGCACTATGGCGGCCGCCACGCTCAAGGCCTTCTTCAAGTGCCAAAAGCAACCTGTACAGTTCTACACCAACCATAACTTTTCCATAACAAGTAGCCCCTGGATCTCACCAGCCAACTCACACTGTATCAAGATGCTGGTGTACCAGTATGACAAAAATGGAAAACCTATAAAAGTATCCCCATGACCTCACAGGTTTGGCACCTAGTGCCTCTGTCTAATCTATTTCCAGATGGGAGGGTAGCCCACTTAAAAGTGCTAACCTGATTTCCTATCTCCACAGACTGAGCAACCCTCAGACTGGTAGATGAGAAAAGATGGAAGAGAAGAAAGAAAAGCATCAATCTTGTTTTCATTTGTGCATTTATTTTCACAATGTCACTTGACAGCAGAATTTCTACCAGTTTGAAGATGTCTTTAGAGGTTGTGTCATCATCCTGTGGCCAATGAGGACACAGGAAAGAAATAGTCTATGACTTTGCCTTGGCACCATCCAGTCATTGGGAACCTCTCATTTATGTGACACACCAAGCCACAATAGCAGGTAGCTGAGTCCACACTCTTCCTCTAAGAGCTGAGGTCAACCATCGCTTCCCTGTGCCATCCTCAGCAGCTAATAATGCTGACCATTGGGATTTGGGATTTTTCCAAGGTGCCCTTTGTCCTAGAGAAGGTTGTGGTCTTGAAGTGGCCCTGGAACCCTAAGCTACAGAATGACACTGTAAGGGGACAAGCAAGTATTAATCCCATCCAAACTCTGGCCAGAGCTTCTTTGGAAAGGCTTCAAACCAACATAACTATGACCCTCAGATTTGGGTCTAAAATGCAGGCTTTCTATTTGTCATTATGTATAGATTTTATCTATCTCCTCCAAAACAAAGACCCCTGCCTGGTGCGTAGGGGGGAAGGAGGATCTCTTGAGCCCAGAAAAACAAAAAAATAAGCCCACTCTTGCCATTGTTTCGATCCATCCCGTGTCAGCTGTGTATGATCCCTTTACTCAAAATAGCTTCTTACTGCAGTGCCACTTAAGCTTCCTGGAGAAGCCTTTTACATGTAGAGTTGACAACCCTGCCTCCTTGCTTGCTGAAGCCCTCACCAAATTGTTTTATCTGAAGTGACTTCCAAACTGGACTTAATTTTCAAGGGTCAGGAACTGTAGCCCTCCAGGTGTGAAAGGAGACATTCTTAGCTCTGCCCCACAGTCTACCTGGTATTACTATTCAGCCACAAATGCAGATAAAATTCACACGGAAAGGTGCCCATGTTGTCTGCTTGTGTGCCCTTTGATGCATATGGCTCAAAAGGGTGGTACCAGTTTTCAGTGAAGCTACTTAATTCAGATCCTTTGCAAAATGATAAAATATGAATTTATTTAGCTGTTCTCCCCTTGCCTGTCCAAGGCAAGAAGAGCTCTCTGATGTAATTAATAGGGGCTTCCCTTGGACTTGCCACTCATGTGTGTACACACACATGCCCACACATGTTTGATTATATTAGGCTTATATGTATCCAGTAATGTATTTTAAAAGGGAAACCATGCTGGAGTTCCACTTATTTAGCTTTTTAAAAATTTCTCTTCCAGATTACCAGTATTTGAAATTATATGTGTTCTGGAAGAAATCTCCCAAAATGATTTTGGAATTGTATGGTGTTTTTGGTGAGCAAACAAAAAGCAAACAGTCCTCCTGGAACACTTGGTTCCTCAGGCTGGATTCTTACTACATTTTTAGTCCTAAATTGGAAGACGTGTTTACCCTTTTTAAGGAAATCTGCAATAAAATGAGTATGGTAGAAAAGGCCCCAGTGTAACACAAGCCCTAAACAATTAGTCAATGCCCTCAATACTAAGTCAATATAATTTTAGGTCATGGTAGTCCTGATTATTCTAATTCCTACTCCTTTTAAATGACTGCAGTAGAGTCTCATCTTACCCAAAGATTAGATTCTAAAATCAGTGCAAAAGAAAAAAATCTGGCAGAGCCGAAGTTACTTCTGCAAGGTCCTGAGGAAGGAACCGTATTGGAGACCATATTCTAATCCTTATAAAACCTAACTCAGCTAAGTTCTTCTCCAGCAATAGAACAGATTTCTTATATCAAGGATAAGACAAAGTTGGCATGCATTTAGAGACCTCCCTTCACTGTATGAATCTAATGTATCCAAGAACATTAAGATCGCACTGGTGCAGCAAGATGCTCCCACTAGAAGAGGTTCACGGAAGTTGTATGAGGGACAAACAGGTTAGTATGTCCCATATCACACTCTCCCCAGCGCACATGTGCATCAAATGGAATGGTGGGCAGACTCCCCCACAACCTTTAAATTGCATTTCTCTTTCAGTTTCTTTTTTGCCAAGCACATGTAGTCCAAATATGTCGTGTTCATTAAGTGTGTGTATGATGCAATTCCACCACACCCCCTTATGAATGAACATTGACCAAAGGCTACCTACACTGAATATATATATATATATTTTTTTTTAAACACATGGCTCAAAAATGCTAGTTTGAGCTATATGTGGATGAGTCACAGTGCAATAGCTCTAAAGATTAAGCAATTCCTCTTTAAGAATGTATGCAAGATGGAAAATATGTGTGTAAATCTCAATGCTCCCTGCTCCACATTTTTAATTACATGTAAAAACTGTTGATGTTTAAAAAATAAAAAACTGGGTGTGCATTTGGAATGTTTTCCTCATACACTCATTTATTAATTCTCTTACCAGTAGAGGTTGTACCACGTTGTATTGTGATCTTTTTTCCTTCTGGCTATATTTTATATTTTGATAAATAATATTTAAAAGAGGTCTGATTCTTGAAGGCATTCCAATGAGTTGTTATCTTCTGGTTAAAATGCATAAGAGTACTCACTGGGTTAGGTTAATACATATGTCCTAAAATTTGTTTCAGATAATCTATGGAGTTTTAATTTATTATTATTATTTATAGTAATAATTATGGACAATAATGATAAGGTTTTTAAGAAAAAAAACTTTTAAACCTTTTCTTTCGGGCCAGTTTTGAAAACAGCCTTGAATTTTAAAGCCTGTCATGTAAAGAGCTGCTGTTGACGGCACTTAAGCAATTGCCTTATATTAGGTTTTTGTGAAAGACTGCTAACTAGCATTTCTCTTGTGTGATTTGTGTCCCTGGTTGGACATGCAGTGATGCTACACACGTACATGCTGTGTCTTTTTATCAGACAGCTCAAGGACTGAACTGTCTCATGGGGAAAGAAATGAAGAACATGAAAGACAAACCATAAAAGACAGACCATGAGAAGGTATGAACTTCCATTTTGCAAACATTCTGCAACTGGAAGATTACTTTGCACAGTTGGAGCCTACTGGTCCAACATGAGCCTATGTGAAGTGAATCAAAGACTCTAATGTTGGCTATTCCAGTTCAAAGAATGGAATAGAATGTTACCAGAGAAGAATAGTAAATGTTCATATTTTCTTAATTAGATAATATATTGTGTTTGGACTTGTTTGTATTATAATAAATTCTAATATGGTGCACACTTGGTGTTTGGAATTTGCATATATGTTCATGCTATGGCAGAACTCTGGCTAAAAATTTTTAAATGAGCTTTTTACTTATCCTTTGTGCTGGTGCTACAATGAGACCTGAATCCCACCTATCCCTTGGTTAGCCAGATATATTTCAGAATTTAAGACCACTGAACTCTGCTTCCTATAATCCTAATTAGGTAGTTTACTGGGGATAAATCTGAATTCTCTTTTGACTTTATCCTTTATATGTCTTCAAGACAATGCTGACTATAATCATAAGAGGAAATCTAGCATAATGACAAAGAGCTTGGACTTGTTTTTCCCTCATGACTTATCTATAACTGGAAGATTTTATCTTTTGACTCCCTTCACCCATTTTTCCCATGCCTACCCCCCATCTCTGGCAACCATCAATCTGTTCCCTGTATCTACGAACTTAGCTTTTTGTCTTGTTTTTTAAATTCCACATATAAATGAGATCATACAGTATTTTTCTTTTCTCTGTCTGACTTATTTCACTTAGGATAAAGCCCTCAAGGTCCATCCATATTGTTACAAATGGCAAGATTTTATTCTTTTTATGGCTGAATAGTATTCTGTTGTGTGTATATACCACATCTTCTCTGCTCATTCATCTATTAATGGCCACTTAAGTTGTTTCTGTATCTTGTAATAGCTTGGATGTTGAAGCCAGACAGTCATGGTTTCACATCCCAGCCCCACCATTTACTAAATGGGTGGCCTTCAACAATTCTTTGAAGATCTCTGAAAGATGGTCCTCACATAAAAAATGGTACAAAATTTAATTTCTTGGCTGCCTTCAAGGTAAATAGAAGCTCTCAAGGTCAGGAAACCAAGATTTGGAGTCAATTTTGGCAGGCTATAACTTTGCAGGCTATTCCACTTCCTACCTGTGTGGCCTTGCACAATGTTCTCAATCTCTCTAAGTCTCAATTTCTTCTCCATAAAATATGGCTACTAGTAATTCCAATACATACCTCATAGGGTGATTATTAATAGTAGAGCTAAAAGGAGTCTCCAAGTGCACATCATTTTACGGGTAAGGATACTGGGTCAAAAGAGGTCAATGACTTTGTCCAAAGTAGTCACTACACACTTCATGCCTCCCACTTTACCTCATTGCCTTCTCTGAAAGATTCTGACTCATGCCCTTTTCAGATTTGAGTATATTGCATAGTTTTCCAACCTTTTAAGCCCAGGTCATCCAAGCATGAGATATATTATAACTGCATCGTAATTAAAACATTTTGCTTGACCTTTCCCTCTAAGGTAGATTTTTTTTTAAGTTGACTCTCTGGAATCCTAACCACAGCTCTTAAACTAGCTATGCATTTCCCACACAAACCACTATCAATTCTGACAGCCACCCACAAACTATTGTCACAATCTATCTTTGCGTCAACTTGGATAATGAAAGTAACTTACAAGTTGAGAGGGAAGCACAAAAAAGCAAAGAATTTGCTGAGAAGGTTGCAAGCAGAAGCTGTTAGGCATGGCTACAGCATCCTCATTAATTTTGTTCACCAACTCAGGAAGGCAGGATAAAAGTAAGTTGATGAAGGTTGAACTGTTAAATAATAATCCTTTTATTAGTGCACTCAGCTAAATGTGATGGTTCAGCTTCTATGGAGGGTATGCAATTAATCCAC